TATATATAATATATAAATATTAATGGACAATTTACTCGATTTGAATTATTTATTGACATACAATTTTTTTATAAATTTATTTAATTTGTAAACCAATACCTTATCAAATATAACGTGAATATGGTAAAATAACATAAACAATAGCCTTTAATCAAAATAAATACTGAACATTTAGCTGGTCGCCTATAGCAATTTGTAAGTAAATCAAGAGGTAGGCAGTATTAAAAAGTTTGGGTGACATAAATTAGTTAATTATTCGACCCTATCTTCTAAAAAGATGTTTTTAAAATTTGTATAATATTACCATCAATTTATCATAACTTCATAACTATCTTTGGACTCTTTCTCTGATCTAATGTTTGGTTAGCCAACCCATGTAGTATACGAATATATGAGTATACGATATGAGTATGGGACATAAATTCATGTAGATAATGGACTACGACTACCAAAATATTATATTATAAACAAATATTTATATTTGTATTGTTGTGTCAGCTTTAGTTTTCCGAACTCAAAACATTGATAATAAACTGGCCCAMTTGTTTATTGTCTGTCCATTCGGTAAACGAGTTGCCAATACTTCCAACATTATTAAACTGCTGATTTTTATATCCAAATATATACAATGTAATTTATTGCGCCAATCGAAGCGAAAAAATTAGTTTGGTTTGATTAAAATGAAAAATGAAAATTACAAACTACATTTATTTAAGATATCAGTCCAAAAGTTGTTTATTTATATTACTAAATGTATAGGTAGTATAGTAATATTAAATTATTTTTGAATATTACTATAATATCGCATAACTTTTATTGAGAAACTCTACATAATAATATAATTTTTATATATTTCAAGTAGTGCCTACTATAATTAGAACTCAATAATACCTTCGTAGATCTATTTAGAACCTATTTCAAGTGTTTATTAACTTTTTTAAAGTATTTTACCCAAATTTGTTACCTATACCTACCTAATAAGTAATAATACCTAATATATTACAACATATCAATAACAACATATGTATAATCGTGTGTATTTTGCGGATAGATTAAGAAAACGGCGAGGTTTAGCGCGGAAAACACAAACAAACGAAATTCGAAAATCGCCGGAAACTTGTAACGGCCCGTCCCCCGTCTGTGACGTTCAACCGATTTGTGCACGTGCCACGTGTCGAAACACCCGTCCGATTGTTATTACCGTAATATCGTCGTAGCCATTCACGTCGTTGTTGTTGTTGTTGTTTCCAACACGGACTCGCGAACGTGGCGGCGACGGTCGTCCGTCGGAGGCGGCGGCGGCGGCGACGGTTCGGCAGGCGAAGCCGAACGGACGTCG